GGAGGCTGTCCCGTCCCCCCTCTCCCCCCCGCCCCAGGGCACGGTCCAGACGCCCCTAGAGAACTCTGCCCCAGCGTTTTCCTGAGGAGAGGAGGGCGCGCAAAGGCGGGTGCGCTGGGCGCTCGGGCCCCGGGCAGATGCGGGGTGGAGCTCAGGGGTCAGACTCCTCCCCCAGGCGCCCCCTCCGCCAATCAAGGGCCAGAAGTGCGCAGCCGCTCGCCGGACTGGCGCGCGGCGCGGTCAGGAGCCGTCCCGGGAAGGCCGCCGCGCGTCCCCTCGCGGTGTACGTGGGACCGGGGAGTGCGCTGAGGACACGCAGCTCGTGCGCCTGAAGGCCACCCGCCGCCGCCACGGCGACAGGGCCTGAAGTTCCGCCGCGGCCGTCAAGTTCCTTTGGGTTAAGCATTGCCATTCCGGCACCGCTTGCAAGATGCAGTGCCCTCCCCCAGCGCCGCCCTCCGAGCTGCCCGCGCCTCCCGGTGGAGGCGTTCCTCCGCCTCACGCAGGTGCGGTCCTGCGCGTGGGGTGCCCGGCGTCTCCGTGGTCCCCGCCCAAGTGGAGTGGTCCCAGGATGGCCGGAACAGTCGAGACTGCCCTACGGGGCTGTGGAAGCTGGGAGAACCCGGCTGAGAGACGCGCGCACTCCCGCGCCCCGTTAGCCTCGCGTACTCAGTTAGGTGGGGAGTCCGGCCCCGACCTCGCTGGTGAGGAAGCAGCCTCGCGGAGCGCGGTGCCTCGCCTGTCACGCAGCTGGCGTTTGATCTCGGATCTGACTCACCGGAAGGTGAAAGCACAGGCTCTTTTAACTGCTGCACTTTATATATTGTAACAAGCTGAACCCTCACTACTACTCCTTCCGGACTCCTGGCAACCCCGTTCCCACGCGACCCAGCCTGGAGTGTGGCTGCGGAGGCCTCTGGCCCGTGTGGCATCCGGACCCGAGCCTCTGGTCGTAGCTTCCTCCGTCGACCCTGCACCCTGTGGCCACGTGGCCTCCTGCCCGCGCCCTGGCTAGAAGACCCTCTCAGTTCTGCAAGCAGGCTTGTACAACAATAAATGGTGGGTTGAATTGGCTTGGTTTCTCTGGTGGATGATATTCCCATGTGGCTTCCAACGGACAGCCGTTTCCCCGCATTCAGAGGAGGGGAGGTTTCCGGGGCCCCCGCCGCCACCCCTCTGGCTTTGGATGGGAATCCTGCACTTCCAGGGGTGGAGCACGCAGTTCTAAAGGCCTTCAACTCATGTTTCACTGAGCGGTACCCTCTGCCTTCTGAGAGTGATGAAGGTCCTCACTCTTTGATGAGGACCCTCGGATGAGAGGCCCTGGTATCCTAAGGCCCTCATTGTGTCCCCTGACCCTCTAAATCCAACCAAGAGGAGACAATTCTATTCTTGGACCACTGCAAAACAGCTGCCAGAGCTGCCTGTGGTCCCCAAAATGGTTAAGTGGGAGCATTTTCCAGGCCACAGTGATGCCTGCAGACGGGGAGGGGCGCGTGGGGTATGAGCCGACAGTGTTGACATTGCCCAGAGTTCAGCTGAGAGGAGATAGATAGAGGACAGAACAGACGTCACCAGAATGAGTGACAGAGCCAGTACGACTAATGGAAAAGGGTAGATGCAGAGGCAGGAGGGCGAAATCGATGTCAGTTAGCAAGAGGTCTCCAAAGCCACTGCCTGACCTGACCCCTTGGCTTCCACTTCCTGCAAACTTGCAAGGAGGCTGTCTTGCTACAGGCTGGTTCCAGAGACGTTGTCTACCAGTAAGGTCCAGAAGACCCAGCCCTAATCTTTTAGTCCCCGTTCTGATTCAGACGTTCTCATAGATCTTGAGCAGTTCCCCGTCTCTCTCTGGGCCTCAGTGTTTCCACCTGGTGGCTGGCTAGACTTAGCTCCTGGCTAAGGCATGAGAGGCTAAGGAGGAAGGGGCTACCCAGAGCCCTCTGCCACCAGCTCTGTCCTCTGGGCTCGGGGAGGACAGCAATGGGAGGGAGACCTCCAAGCAGACTGGGAACAAGGGATGCACAGAGGACAGAGGCTGTGAGAGAACAAGGAACAGTTCTCTGGAACTGAGGGATGAGCTCAGGCTGGTGGAAGGAGTGGCGAGGGGAGGAGGGGAAACAAATGGAAAGAGTTAACAGATCCTAGAAGCAGGGCATTTGCAGAGAAAAGGGCAGCACCTCGCCTGCCAAGTCAGGGACCCCACAGGCTGCCTGGGCTATGGGAAGGCCAGGAGGGGCCACCAAACCAAGCTGGACCCAGCCCGTCCACCACAGTGCCTGAAATCGACCATTAGTGAGTCATGGCTTCAGGGTAAGGAGAGAGCCCTGGGGAGACCAGATGTATCAGCCAGGAGGGTGGTAAGTGAAGCAAACATGTAGAGACCCAAGACACGGGCAGCAAAAGGGAGGACTATCGGTGGGATCCTGCCCTGAGAGGTAGCAGTAGGTGAAAAGCCCAGTATTGGGCATTCAGGAACAGAGAGAAGCTGAAACAATGTCTGAAGCCAGCAGAGACCATGGGCAGACATCCCAAGCTGCCTATGGAGGGGGGGTGACCCTGGAACAGAATTTCTCCTGTGCTCTCTCTTCCCTCCAGCTGCTCAGTCTCTCTCCTGCCTCCTAGGGCACTCCTCAGGCCAGTCTAGCTCATCTCTGTTGCCACCTGGTGGGTACCTTAAGGACTTCGCCAAGGTTGGCCTTTGGGCCCCAAACACCAGGGTTCAGGCCCCTCCCCAGAAGGCCAGGTGACACAGAGGGCAGGCCTCTCTCCTCAGCTCCATTTCAGAGTGAAATACAAGAGGGAAGAGGGAGTGAGTTCCCAGGACTGGTGAGCCCAGGGGCAGCCTAGGATTAGGGAGACCCAGGGCCTGGCCCTCAGACCCAGGTCCCTGACTTTTGTGGCACGCGGTGATCCCTGTCCGAGTCCCAACTGCAGAGCTGGGCTCTCGGGTGCGGATTAGGCCCTGACCCTTGACTGAGCCCTGACCCCAGTTTCCTGAGGGCAAAGCCCAGTTAACTCAGGTGGGTGCCTCCTGGAAAGAGGAGCAAGGAGCCCCCCACCATCCCGGTGCAGAGGACCAGCATCAATTCGATGGCAGAGGCCACCATGTGGACAGTGCTTGCCACTCTAGGACACAGGCTGAACAAGGAGGGTGGGCCAGTGTGCCAGCTGAATGGATGGGGAGCAGCTTCCCAGGTGAAGAGACATCGGGGCATCTCTTAGGACTAAGTAGGGATCTCTAGGTCCCAAGGGGGCATGATGGATGCCAGGGACACCCAAATCCAAGTAAGCAGATGTCTGCGGTTGGCCCTTAGCAGCAGGAACCCAGTGAAGGCTTCTTAAATGAGGCCAAGGGGATGAGTGTGGACTTGGGGCAGACTGCTCTGGCTGCCCGAGAAGGGCCCCAAGGGTAAGTCGAGGAAAAAGGTGCCCACCCACCATCCAGGTGAGGGAGGAGGAGGAGGGGGCTTGGGGAGATGATGACCCCATTTGGCACATGCTTTATGTAATGTCTGTGGGATGTCTGGGGAGAGCCCTAAGGCTACTGAGCTCAGGATCTAAAGCAACAAGGCGCAGGCAGGGGTGGGGAGACCAGGACAACTCCCATGGGGGAGGGGGCCCAGCTGCGGGCACCCCCATCTAGCAGCGCTGGGCCCAGTGGGGTGAGGAGTCAGCGTCAGGCCCTGCATTCCCACCACTTGCCCAGGGCCTGTTTCCTGAGCCATGACCCTGCCTCCCCCCAGGTCCCCCCATATGGGAACAGGAACTGCTCTTATCTCTCCCGAGGGAGGGGGCGGAGCCACAGCTGACAGTCTTTAAACACCCTGATCAGGCCAGGGATGGTGGAGATATTAATAGCCAGGAGTCAATGGCCCAGGAGACACAGCCTCCCAGGGAGAGGGACAGTAACCTCGGCAGGCCATGGGGATGAGGAGGACGGGTCAGGAGGCCATCCTGGCAATGACCTAGCCTCCACGCAGGACAGCTGGGGTAACCAGAGTCCAGAGAAGGGAAGGGACTTGCTTGGAATCGCCAGTAGGTCATTGGCAGAGCCTGTCCTTGAACTCAAGTCTCAAAATCCTGGAGCCCTGCTTCATCATATGGATTGTCATAGGTGAGAGTCATCCAGAGTGCCCTGTGTGGGAACACAAGAGCAGACCTAGCAGGAGACACCAATTCTTTAGTCTCTTTATAAAGATCTCGGCATCTTGTTCATTGTGTCTTTTTTGCATTGCTTTTCTTTTAATATTGCATTAAAATTTTATTTATCCTGCTTACTGAATTTTTATTTTTATTTTTTATTTTTTGCCACCTCCTTAAATTTTGCATCTAAGACAAATGCCTCATTTGCCTCAGCCTGGTCCCAGCCCAGCTCCCAGAGGTCCCAGCGTCCCTGGGTCCCAGCATGGCAGCGTGGAAAAAACTGAAGCGTTCTGAACCAGCCTCTACGTGGCTCAGAGGGCAAAGGTCCTGCCTGGGCGACGCCTACTAAAAGTAGGCAGCTCTGGGGTTAATGCAGTAGCTCAACCTAGTAGTTTCTGTCTGTCTCCTCTGGCATCCTCTGTATTTTGACTTTCATCCATAGACGTATCCCCTCATGATTACAAGATGGCGGTCAGTACCCCAAGCATCATGTTCTCACAGAACCCCATCCAGTGGCAGAGAGAATGTCTCCTGTGTGACTCCTTTTATCAGAAAGAGAAGCTATCCCAGAACCCATCTTCTGCACACTTTCCTCAGGGTCCTGGGCCGGGACCAGCTCACATACCTAAGCCCTGGTTACAACTTCCAGAAGGAAAGTTGATCTAATAAGGAAGGAGGGGTGGGGAAGGCTGCTGACTCTCAGTCTCTTTCTGGATGTCTCTTTGGGTAAATACGTGGCCTTTCAGCTTCCCTCCACCTGAGCCTGGTGGCACAGCATATGGTAGAGGGGAGGAAGCCCAATCAATCAAGGTTAAGTGCAGGGAAGACAGAAAACACTCTGGGTATTTTGTGCAGAAAGATATTTAATGTAGGGAATTACATGTAGAAAGGTTTGTTGGAGTGGAAGTTAGGGCACACTTCTGCCCTGTGGTCGGTCACGTCACCCCAGCTGCCACCTTGCAGGAAATCATTGCCAACCTCCTAGTTGCACATCCACGAAACTGATGACAAGAAAGTGGAAGGAACACCGTATCCAGCTGCTGCAAAAACTCATGTCTGTCAGATCCCACCCAGCAGCCACCACGCTGCAAGGAGAATGGCCTTGGCCTCCCTTCTGCCTCCCAACCCCCTCCTGCGGTGCGTCCCTCTGGCAGAGCCTAGGCTGCGTCCAGATCCCCAGCAGCAAGGGGGTGCTGGGAAAGGGAGCCTTCAGCCTTCCAGCCCCTGCAACACATGGGAATATGGAAGGGGCAGAGGGATGCCGGGTGCCAACGGATGCTTTCTAGCACAGAGGCCCAGGTGGCCATGTAGCCTGAGTCCCCAGAGGGAGAGCCTGGGACAGAAGTCTGTGGCCAGGAAATAGGAATGGGGGACAGAGAAGTGGGAAACGGAGATGGGGAAAGCCAAAGGGAAGGTGGGTTATTGTGCCGGTCACTGCTCTGATCGTCTATGAGGAGCAGGTCGGGTGCCCCTCAGAAGTGCCCTCCCGAGGGTCAGGACAGCATTACCTGCGGGCTCCCACCGTCAAGGGCTCAAGGTCCGCCCACGTCAGCACCCTGATACTTCCAAGCGTGAGTTCTCCGGTGGGTCCCCACCATGGCTTCCGAGGAACTCTGGGCAGAAAGTGTTGATAGCTGAGGTAGGGAACAGGTTATTCCTGTAGGAGCTGGAAAAAGTAGGTCCATAGGATACGAGGCAGCAAGTCCAGTACGGGTGGCCTCCTGCTGGCAGAGACAAGGAGCCTTGCACAAAGGTCCTGGTGCTACCCTGTGTACTAGGATCCTCACCGTGGCCGAGCTACCCACAGCCTGCTCTCTTGGCTGGGGCCCCGGGGCCTGCCCTGGCAGATCCAGCCCCACCTGGGCTCACTGTGGCCCCTCAGCCAAGCCGCTATCCAGCCCGGGGTGTGAGCCCCCCTCACCTCCCCACTGGCCGTGGCGGCGCCATCATGCCAGGCTCACCGGCTCTAACTCAGCCATCTTCCTCATGCCCCAGGGAGCACGCAGGAGCTTCTGGATCCCTTCCAGGCCTCTGGGAGCTGAGGGAGGCTGGGTGGTGCTCACTCCGACTTTCTTGCGATCAAATCCACAGCTCTACTGTTTTTACCCACTAGGGCCACCTGAGGGGCGCCAGGCTGCGTGGGAGGCTGATTCCAAGTGCAGAGTGGGACCCACACCCCCTCCACTTTCATAGTGTAGGGTTCCCCCCCCACCTCAAGATTTCATCCCAGAGGATGAGAACAGGACATGTCTGAGAGTTTCCTTCCTCACCAGCTGAAGGTGGGTTTTCCTTCCTCCCCCACCCCCATCCTCCCTTCCTGCTCCCTGAGATGGCATTCATCCCCCACCCCTGCCTGTCCCCTGGGTCATAATGATGGAGTGGCTCCAGACGGTGAGGAGATGAGAATTATATCGGTTTAATATCTTCAAGGTACGGATGCCATAATATTCATTCAGCAAATAGCTACCGAGCGCTGACGGTGTGCACAGCGTGACCAAGGCCCTGCCCTCACGGCGCTGACCCCCCTAACAGAGGAGTCAGATCATAAATGAGGAAATTACTCGAGGATGAACAGTACAGCACAGGGAATGTGGACAATAGTATCGTAATAACATACGGTGACAGATGGTGACAGTGCGGTGAGCACCGAGTAATGTACAGAATTGTTGTACACCTGCAACTAACATGGTAGGTCAATGATACTCCAATAATCAAAAAATAAAAAATAAACCATTGATGCTCACAAAAAATAAATGAGGAAAATTACAGAAGGAAGAAGGCAAGATGAGGGGCTAGAGTGAGGGGGTGCTCTGTTAGTTGGGATGGTCAGAGGAGGTCTCCCCGGGGGTGACAGTGAAGTAGAAGCAAGTCATTCCCCTTTCCGATAATGCCGCAAAATCAGAGGATTTTAAACCATAATACACCAGAGCCAGGGCCCAAGGCCTTAAGATCCAGGTCAAGGGCGCCTGGGTGGCTCAGTTGGTTAAGCGACTGCCTTCGGCTCAGGTCATGATCCTGGAGTCCCGGGATCGAGTCCCACATCGGGCTCCCTGCTCAGCAGGGAGTCTGCTTCTCCCTCTGACCCTCCTCCCTCTCATGTGCTCTCTCTCATTCTCTCTCTCTCAAATAAATAAATAAAATCTTTAAAAAAAAAAAAAGACTTTAAAAAAAAAAAAAAAAAGATCCAGGTCAAAACATGCAGCCCCCTGCCTCTGCAGCAGCAGCCTGAGCGGTATGTGAGGAGAGCGCATCTTGGGGGCTCGGGGGCTCACTGCTTCCTGAGTGACCCGGAGGGGATGCCCGCCTGGACACGGGGAGGCTTGTTTCTTGTTGCCCTCCATTGCAACAGTGACCAGTTAGGCCCACAGACTCCGTCTGGGCGTGGGGACCAAGAGCACGCACCTCCCACCCTTGCAAATCCCAGTTCAGTGTCCCCAGTGGTGCCCAGTGACACAGAACAGGTAGCTCTTGAAAAGACTAATATTTACCCTTTCAAACGGAAGATGGCACAGGCCGTTTCCTGCGACCGGCGTCTGGCTCGCCTCATGGGATGGACGCAACAGGAGGCACGACGGGAGACAGGCAGATGTCCCTGCGGACACCAGCACCCAGGACGAGACAAGGTCTCCGAGATGGGGACAGCATGTTCCAAGGTCCCGGCCGACTCATCGCATCTCGGTTTGCACACCTTCACAGTGGAGTGCTCACTATCTCCCTGAGCCCTGCTCACCAGCCCTGTGAGAAAGTTCATCCTACGGCTAGCCCTGTGTTCCTTGCTTCTGGCCCCTGCTCTTACCCCTGGGGCCTCAGAAAATGTGCCTAGAATAATCCCTCAGGGCAGTGGTGGTCCTGGTTAGCTTCACCCGCCCAGACTCAGTCCCCTCCGGCTTCACTTCCCCAGGCTCATGCCAGGGAACAGACTTGTTTCTGGGGTGGGAGGAAGGCCTTGCCTTGGGGGCACCTCCGTCCCTCCTGCAGCTGTGTTCCTTTTTCCCTGAGAATCCCCTGTGAGAGAGTCCTTCAGCTGAGTGCCTCATGTGGGAAAGAGTCTCCGCCAGGAAACTACTGGTCAGACAGCAAGAATCTGGGAAGGAGGGAGTCCCCTGTGGCCAGAGCTGGCTCACGCATCTACTTTCCCCTCTTGAGTCCCCTCCTCTCTGCTTTCTGCCCTTCCCCTCCCCCACGGTTCCAGAAGCCCTCCCTGACCATTATGCCCCTGGCCTCGGCTTCAGTTCCCCCACCTCGCCCACTGGAAAAGCCTGGAGGCTCAAACACTCTGGCAGCATTTGGGGCTAGAGCCCCTGCAGAGGTGGGCCTTCTGGGCCTCAGTCCAGTGAGTGCTGGGCGCACCCAGGGCAAGATCGCCAGGGGCAATGCAGGCCCCCGGCGTTCACCCAGGGCTCTCAGACCTGACCCCTGACTCTAGCAAGCTTTCTCTCTTTTCTTTAAATTCCTTATTATCCTAACTCACATGCTCCTGGCCCCTTGTAGGCAACCACTCAAATGTATTTAACACATATCTTTTTTTAAAATATGTTCTTACAAAGTATTTTATCATTTCGTGTGCATATATTTCTAATCATATACACTTATTTTTCTACTCGGTTCTACATTTTAGAGATCCATCCATGCTGCTGCATTACATCTAAATCTGGTACTTCTTCCTGCAGTGTGGTGCTCTATGGTGAGCCTGCACACTTGATCTGTCCACGGTAGACACAGACTGCTTTCTACCAACACAAGTAATTCTTCCGTAAAATTTAACTTCATACCTATCCGCTCAAGGATCTGTCAAAGCATTTCCCAGGGACATAGAACCAGGAGTGAAGGATCCAGTGTGCACATGAAATTCGGGTAGGTAGCCAGATTCATTTGCTAGAGCCTCCATAACCAAGTACCACAAACTGGGTGGTTTAACAACAGAAATTTTTTTAAAAGATTTATTTATTTTGAGAGAGAGAGAGCACAAGCAGGAGGGGCAGAGGGAGAAAGAAAATCTCAAGCAGACTCCATGCTGAGCGTGCAGTCCCACCCGGGGTTCAATCTCACGACCCTGAGATCATGACCTGAGTCAAAACCAAGAGTCTGATGCTTACCCAACGGCACCACCCAGGCGCCCCTAAACAACAGACATTTATTTTCTCATGGTTTGGAGGCTGGAAGTCTGAGATCAAGGTATCGACGGGATTGGTTTCTTCTGATGCTTCTTTCCTTGGCTTGCAGATGGCTGCCTTCTCCCTACCTCCAAATACAGACGTTCTGAGGTACTGGGGTGGGGGGTCAGGACTTCAACATATGCATGCGGGAGAGCACAGTTCAGCCCACGACAGTGCATTGCCCTTCAGATGGCCTGTGCACGAAGTCCTATATCCCCCCACACCCTCCAACACTTGATGCCATCCAGCTTTCTAAGTTTTGCCAAATAGGCATGAGGTGATACTTTACTGTTGTTTAAATATGTGATTCTCTGTAGTTCTAATGATTTTAAACATCTTCCTATGCTTCTTAGCTTTTTGGGTTTTTCTCTTCTGTAAATTGTTCATTTTTCTACTGAGCTTGCTGTCTTTCTTGCTGACCTATGGCTATACAAAATTCTTTACATACGTTAACACGAGTTTAGGCTTTACTACTGTGTGAGAGTCTGTTAAAACATACTCATCATTTATTCAAAATAGATCTTTTTATTACATGAAAACAGTAAGAAGCTGTATAGTGATCCCTATTGGTTTCAGACATTCTAAAGATCTCCTCCCATTCGTTTAACTTTGCCCGTGACATCCTTATTTGCATGCAATGAGATTAATCATTTTGCCTCAAGGGTTGTACCTGTAGCATTTTTCTTTAAGAGCACTTTTCCATCCTAGGTCACAAAGGTACTTTCCTTCCTGTTCTTCCGTGAACTTCCTAGTGTTTGCCTTGCACATCCGACCCAGCAACATCGGAGAGCAGACTGCAGAACCAGGCAGCGCCTCCCCGCCAGGGGCACCCAGGGGGACCCCTTCCTCTCTGAGCCTCACTCCTCACTGGCACTGCTCGAGGCTGTTTGGCAGTTGTCACGCGGCGCTTCTGCTCCTGGGCCCCATTAGCGGGTGGAGCTCAAGAAAAAGGAAGGCAATTCATCAGCCTGCACTGGCATGCAGCCCTCCTGGCGCAGCAAGGGCATCTTTCATGGGCCAACATCCCCTTTTCCTCTCTGCGGTGCTGCGGTATGTAGAGCACCTTATTCCCAGCCCAGGGGACGCAGCTCTCGGCTGCACTGTCACTGGCCCCTTCGGACGGGCCTCAACTTCCCCACCTGAGCAACAAGGGGGTTGAACCGGGTGGTGTCCCAAGGCTCTGCCAACTCACAAATCCCAGAACCCAGTAACTTAGTGTTTATTTTGGAAGCTTCTGCCCTCCCCACCCCACCCCCCACCCCCAGAGTTTTTCACTCAGGACAGATGGTGGAGAGAAGCTGGGAGCACGCATTCCCCCAGTGTGTTTGGGATATGGGCAGGAGAGGCTGGTGCACTTGCTTACTTTCTGGGAATTCTGTCGGCGGCTGCAGGAAGGACCTCTGCAGAAGGGGGCAGTCCCCTGGGCCCGGAGCCTGACAACCGGCAGGCCGCTGCGCCTCCTGCTGGCCTCTTGGTGGCGGGGCTGTCCTGGGAGAGGAAAACTAAGCCGGTGCTCAGAAATCTAGCGCAGGGTAAGGGCCTGCTCACAGGCACAGAGAAGCAGGAGCAGAGCCTGCAGAGAAGGCAGGCCTCCCTTCCCACCCCCCCACCCCGAGGGCTGCTATGTTGGCTTTGCCAAGGTCTCTCCTGGACCCATGATTGCATTCCAGAGTCTAGGCATTAGTGCTAAGGACTGAGGCCGTGCAGCTGTCCAGACACTGGACAGAGGACCTGAAGTCCACCTCTCTCAGCATCCCCCCTCCATTATGCCAGGCCCACATCACACCCTCTGGGAAAACAGACCTGTCGCTCAGAACTTTTTACACGAATACACGCAAGTTAATAAGCACCTTAGATTTATTCTCTCACTTCTGAAGCCACCTTATTTGATTTATATATACATGGTATATAAATGGCTATACAATATTCTTTACATACGTTAACACGAGTTTAGGCTTTACTACTGTGTGAGAGTCTGTTAAAACATACTCATCATTTATTCAAAATAGATCTTTGTTATTACATGAAAACAGTAAGAAGCTTGTACAACATGGACAGCAAGCGTTCAAAACAAATATGTGAAGTCAATGGTTTTGCCCTGGCTAAATCAGCCGCAACCTTTTATGCTCTTAGTAGAAAAGTCTATTAAATAAAACAGAATTCTGGGGGGTCAAGTCATATGAATAATTCATGAAATAATACTTCTGAAGTAACTAACCCTGGGATCACCCGAGGGTTAAAGAAGGTCATATGTACCAAGCACAGGTTAGAACAATGGATTTGACCATTTTACCCTAAATAAAAGGCGCTTGTGGGCAGCAGCTCTGCCATCAGTACACATGGGCAGATGTTTCCATATCCGGCCATTCCCAGACCTCACCGACGAGCCCTTTTCCACAGGTTCCCTGCCAAGACGTTTCCCCAGAAACAGAAGTCTGATGTCACTGCTCCCAGATGGGAGAATCAGAGCTCTCCTCATTTGGGTCGGGAACGGACCCACAGAACCGGCCTCCCTGGACCCTGGAGGGCCCAACGCCAATGGTACCAAGAGTTCTGGGACTGGAGGGCAGGAGGCAGGTTCAAGGAGGAGAAAGAGAGGCCACTTCCTTTCCAGAGTGAAAGAATGAGTCCATTTACATTGCAGTCTTGATAAAATGCCCATTTTTGTAACACCTGGAAGACACGGCCACACCGTGCTGCCTTAAGTACGGACCTCCTTGTATCGGGTGAAAGTCTTTCTCCTCCTGCCCGCGACCAAGGGATTCACCCAGTACTCTCCTCCACTAGGCTTTTAGCCTCATGAGAGCATGCCGGGGGAACTGCCCAGCTGAGGACACTGAGGCCCGTGGGCATGACTCGCAGGGCTGAGTGGAAGAGTCAAGCTGATCTCCAGGCCTCCCCGATCTCTCACGGGCACATCTCCTCTCTCTTCCTCCACCATTATTAACACAGTGCACAGTGGAGCTTCCCCGTCCCTGGGCAAGATTCTGTGCAGGAACATCTGGAATGCAAGCCACACCAGAACAGGGGCGCACATCTGTCCCCGCAAACACTCCCACGCCTACTGGTCCTCACCTGTGCTGCTCTGGGCACGCATGGCAGCAGGCTCCTAAGGGCCACCCGTCCTGCATGTTACAATGAGTGGCTGACTCCTTCAAGGAACAGCAAATAGCAGCCCTGGATGGTGCCGCATGCGGCCCCAACATGCCCCCGGCTCTGCTTCCCATCTGTCTCCTGCTTTCCACGCCCCCAACAGCTGGCCCTGCTGGGTGTCATCTTTGACTCTGAGCACCAAAGTGCTACTCCCCTCTGAGCGTGGACTCCTAAGTGTGTGCTGAAGCTCCCAGGGGCAAAGGGGAAGAGAGCCAGGCCTCAGTGCAGTCTGCCCCCACTCTGAAGCTCCTGTACCCACCCAGCAACTACACTCAAAGATGGCTTTCTCATCCCTCCAGAGATTCCAGGTTCAGCCTCTGTGTCCAGGGCTGGAATGTGTGGGACAGACATGAAAGAGGCAGAGGAGTCTTGGAGAATGGGGGCACCTAGGAAAGGAACAGGGAGCTCCAGGTGAGGTGATGGAAATGAGGCTGAATGTTTGAATTTCAGCACTCTTCTTGACACCCTTTGGCCGACCCCTTAAGGAGCTTTAAAGTGGTGGGCCTTGCCTCACGATGCCTGCAACAGAGTTTACAGGTAGTAAGAGTGCAAGCCTGAGAAGCAAAACCAGAAGCCTCCGGTCACATTCCTTCTGCTGCCGGCGGTGGGGTCTCCCGTACTGAGAGGAAGTGCCACCCCAGATATGCCCCCGGTTGTCTCCACCCAGGAAAAAGAAACTCAGGAACGATCCTCATCGCAGTAAGGCTAGTCTAGGGAAATGAAAACCAGAGTCTGCGTGTTTCTTTGACCAGCATACTTGGGGAAGGGAAAACCCTTTGGGCCTTGGCCCCTTGGTTGGGAAACCCTGGTCAAGAGCCCTGAGCCACATTCCCAGCCCGATACAGTAGATGGGAATAACATACTCTGATATTAAGATCTTGCAGCATCTGATCCCAGAAGGCACTTTGAAGGTTTGTTTCCAACATGATTTCATCTATTCCCATATCTACCCCTGCGAGGTCAGTTGGGCAGGTAGCATTGAACCCCTGGGAAAACAAAGTGCTAGAACAGCAATGAGTCTGTGGGGTAGTGAGGATAACTCCTGCGATGGGGGGCCAGCTTTCTGGCATCAAGGATGACACGGGGGGGGGGGGGGGGCGGCACAAAATTTCAGGCCTAAACCAGCCTGGGATTTCCCTTGGACAATATTCCCAGAACTTCTTTCCTATCACTTGTCTCTTCCTCCAGTGAGCTGAGGCTTCTTTCAGCTGGATTCTAGTTAAGCAATGTTTATGTGGTCATTGTTTTGTACTGTTTGTGCATCTTTTCCTTTTTGTTTGCAAAAATCAATCTCAAACCCCATGTAGATGCTAACTGATGACAACCACATTCAACCAAGTGTAGATAACCTCCCTGCTGGTGTAGGAAGCATTCACCAGGAGGGACTCCTCTTCAGGGTCTGCTGGATGTGGATCACAGGCTCAACCCCAAGAGCAATTGCATCTGGGGTACAGGGCTACACGGCAACACCAGTAACACAAGGGCTTGAAAAAAGAAAAAAAAAAAAAAAAACCCACAATTCACTTGTAAGCTGTTCTTACCAACTTTTAAAGCCTTTTTTTTTTTTTTTGGTGCTTCTAATGTTAACAAGGATTTGTGTCCCTTCCTTGGCTTCCCATTCTATTTTACCATCTCTTCAAAATTATGTCCCAGAAAGCCTTTAGATTCACCTGCTGGGTATGCAGAAGATTATGCAGATACAGAATCAAAGGAGAGACAACTGTGAACTTGACATCTGAGGATGGTGCCAATATATCTTTCACATCCAGATACTGTTTGATTAAAAATAGAAAACTATATTATAAGAAAATAAAATGACTGCAGCAACATTTTCCCAACAGTTGCCAGTCACATGAACTTGTTTTTCTTAAAGTGACATCAAGTAGCTCAATAGCAATGCACTAACAGTATACAACCAAGTACAACTGAATTCCCTAAAATAATATTCTTGCTTTCCCCACGTACTTACTAACTCTTGCAATGGTTTTCAACTTTTAAAAACTATCAAAGTGGGATTTTTTCATTTATCAAGACCACATAATTCAACCCAAAATCCCATGCAATTGCAGTTGAGCTATTCAGATTCCAGATTTCTACCAAGAAGAATCCAAAGGGCAAGCTCGGAAAATGGCCTCCTGAATGGTACTGGACAACCCAGGCTGAAATTTCTGGAGACCTAAGGGATCTTATTTAGAGCCCCATTTCGGAAAGCTGTGATCAATCAACTATTTTGACAATGAGGCAAGAAAAGTAACTTTGCAGAGCACAGGGTTAGTTATATCTCTATGAAGCTTTAAAAAAGTTAACACCTACTTAACTCCTGTTCATAAAGAATGAGGCCCTCGATCTAATTATGATGACTGGGAAAGGTGTCGAGGAGTAATTAATTTGGGAGGGCTTCTGGGAACAGGTACACAGGGTCAGGCATTGATCATCATTAAAATGACAGGCACTCGGCTGCCATGTACAAGGCTGATGACAATAGTTTTTGTTTTTGTTTTTTTCAATACCACCTGCATCTGTAAAGTGCCACTATGTGAATCTATGTGATTCACCTACTCCGGTCTGTGGCCCACTGCAAAGAATCCTGAAATTCTCAGGCTTATAAGCTCAGGCTCATACTCATAAGCTATGATCCAGTAACACTGGTCACTCAATTTTTAAAATATTCAGATATACCCTGCAGATAAATACAAAACATTTCTGTACCCACACAGCCCCACCACCATAAAAAGTTATATATAAATTAAATAAATTCAGCTTTCTTAACCATTTTCTCAGCTTAAGTTTGTCCTTTCCCTAAATGAAGATAAGTTCACAATTTATATCCAAAATACATTTAAATATTCTAAAGGTATCATATCGGACTAAGTTATCAAAAAATGTAAACAAAATTTATCTAGCTTATATTTCTTAGCCATATTTTGAAATCTTTAATTCACCCTGTACTGACCCTCTACAAAAAACTAACCAAGTCACATTTAGACTGAAAAGCTGATATGGGTTTTAAAGTAAGTTTCCTCAGAGACAACCGCCAGCTACTAAAACTAGTGTTATTGAATCTCGTGCTTTATTGCGTCATCCAAAACAATTCCGTTCTGATCTTCCAATAATGGTCCTTGGGAGTGAGCCCCCAGATTCTCACCTAAGGAGAGGTGCGGACCTGGAGATTCGGCCATAACGCTCAGCACAAAACCGGGCCTGGGTCTCAAGCCACCTCCTGCCTTCCACTGCACCTGTTAAAAATCCCCCAATTTCTCGGGCTCGGCCTGGTTTGGTTGAAGGGAACTTCAAGGGTGGAAACTTGAGGTGAAGTCGAGAAGCCAGAAGGGAAACAGAGACGACCCTCCTGAGAAAGCCAAAGGATCCATTTGTCATACAGCGTCGCCTTCAAACTCCGCAGTCAGACTGCTTCTCCTGAAGCTGCCTGGTCAGTATCTGATACGAAGACAGAAAAGCCACCGCTATGTGGAAGAGGATTTGCCAGACGTTCCGCAGCCCGTGCAGGTACATGTTGCCCAGGCAGATAAAGAGCAGCAGGAACACCACCTTCATAGTCCTGGCTGGACTGTAGAACAGGTACAAATAACACTGAAATGACACCGTAAGAGGCAGTCCAATCAGAGATGAGGAAATGGCCATGGGTCAGACGCAAGATTCACGTCTCGCACCTGCACTCACATTAGCTGATTAAACCGAATTCATTACAGTGCAGCCTGGACATGCTGGGTAAGCTGCTGGTAATCACTGGGTGAAAGTGGAGATTCAGAAGAGAGAAGAGAAGTGAAATAGATGTCACAGGAGGAATGAGGACACGACAATCGTTAACACGTTTAAGAAATACAGACAGAAATGCCCTACCTGGGGGCTGTGGAGAAAGAAGAGATGCAGGTAAAGGGAAGGGAGCCAGGCCAAGACACCCCAACAAGGCTGACTGACCTCCAACTGGATTCTTCCTTCAGGGGAGCCATGACAGGCACGAAAGCCAGGGAAAAGAGCCATGCTTTTATCATTCGTTTTTCCTGAGTTACAACTACATCAAGGACCAATGTTCCCCGGACACGCCCTTTATCATGTCTCCAAAAACATCTCTGACACAGGGAAAGTCTCACAGCCAGGAGAGCCTCACAACCGGTATTTTATATAGGGCTATCACACAGAAAAGAGACCATTCTTGTTCTGCAAAAGGTAAAAAGCAGCTTTTTGGTTCAACGTTGAAAAAAAACAAGAAGCACGTTCTCAAAACCCAGAGCAATTCAACAAAGGCTCAAGCTCCAGCGGGTGGGAGAGAGGTCCCCATTGAAAGAGCTATCCAAGTACATGAATGCAGTTGAGGGAATGAAGGCCGAGGGGTAAGACCCCACAGCCCTGAAATGCAGGCTTTGGGCACCTCAAATGGCAACACCCAAGGTTCTGGAGACTTGATTTCTCAAAAATGAGTGCATTTTCAGTCCTGGGATGAAAATTTCTTTTGACACAATTATGTCATTCTTAAAAAACAGACCATTCTAGGACAGATGTGGAAGAGAGAGGAAGTGTCCTGAGAAGAGAAATTTTAACTGAAAGGGGAAAAATAAAATAAAAAAGCTTAAGAATGTAGAGAAAGTACTAAAGTCCTAGCCTTTGTGGAGGATGAGGAAAGGAAATTAGTCAGGTTTTTCTACTAGAATTAACTCTGCCTATAGGAGATTCAAAAGCTCCATTTTACTCCACCCCTTAAGTATGAAGTTTGCTTGAAAATAACTAAATAACAATCAAAGCCCACTATTAATGTTGTAATGTTTATCTCACCTCCCAAGGACAGATTTGAGTCAGATGGCATTACTATTAAAAACAATTTTTGGGGGGGCGCCTGGGTGGCTCAGTTGGTTGGGCGTCTGCCTTCGGCTCAGGTCATGATCTCAGGATCCTGGGCTCGAGCCCCATGTGGGGCTCCCTGCTCAGCGGGGAGTCTGCTTCTCCTTCTGTCCCTCCCCCCTGCTCATGTTCTCTCTCTCTCTCCCTCTCTCAAATAAATAAATAAAGTCTTTAGGGGCGTCTGGGTGGCTCAGTTGGTTAAGCGACTGCCTTCGGCTCAGGTCATGATCCTGGAGTCCCGGGATCGAGTCCCGCATCGGGCTCCCTGCTCAGCAGGGGGTCTGCTTCTCCCTCTGACCCTCTTCCCTCTTGTGCTCTGTCTCTCATTCTCTCTCTAATAAATATATAAAATCTTAAAAAATAAATAAATAAATAAATAAAATCTTAAAAATTTTTTTTAACCTAGTCCTGGTTTAAAAAAAAAAAGCACATATAAGTAGTTGTTACTTCTGCAGAAAGACGTTTCTATACTTGGACTGCCTTGACAATAAGTAAGACGCTGCTTCACATTAGTCAGGCTCAACCCAATCCCCACAGCAATCTCATCCCTCCCTTCTTGGGAGTCCAATCCAAATTCCTGGCTTCTGTTCAGCCATTGTCAAAGGCTCTGTGGCCTAGGGCAAGTGGCTTTCCCTTTCTGAGCCCAATGTTCTTCCTCTGTAAAATGAGACAGCTGGACAGGATGGGCCTAGGGTCCTTCCAGGAAGGACCTGGTATTGTCCATACCATGCCTTGGTGGAACAAAATCACATCAAGAAACTTGCTGATGGTTCCAACAGAAGAACAAAATAGGACCATGGGGTTCAACCCACTCACCAAAATGTTAATGTTTCACCCACCTGGAAAATACAGGCTACAAAAGGAATAAGAAAAGCCAGAATATTTCCAATTTCCTCGTGGACAACCTAAAACAAATATAAGAAACACAAGAAAAGGAATATTCAGATGAATGGAAACACTAGGACGTGAAGCCCTTCACACCTCATTCACTCTGGTATGGCTGATACTACAAAATCGCTGGCTGAAGGAGACATAAGTCCCTGTTTATTTACCAGAACAAGGGTTGGCATGCAACTGTTTTCAACAGCCTGGACAGACCATGCGCCCTCATGTCCCTGTGCATCTGTGCTAAGCCCCCAGACTGGACTGCCCCCCAACACCACTACCTCTCACAATCCTACTCATCCGTCAGCACTCAGCCTTCCCGAATTCTGCCCACCTCCACGCACCGTGACCTCCTTCATGATGTCACCACACTCTACTTTACCATCCTGTCGGCCAGGCATCTGTTCTAGTGCGTACAGACGCTTGGTAAGTATCTGCGTGTGAATAATCATACAAAATAGGAGTGGGAACCACAGCACACATTGGCTAAAGACAGGATGTGGTGACAGGCGGTCACTGCTGCCACTCTCCACACAGGTCAGCCTACATTAGTCTCCTGAGACAGCCTCAGCTGTGCTTCGAACTTCGGCTACCACAGTCACGGCTGTGAGCATTATGGCTCTATTTTTAAAAGTAGTATCTAGGGGCGTCTGTTGGCTCAGTTGTTAAGCGTCTGCCTTCGGCCCAGGTCATGATCCCGGGGTCCTGGGATCGAGCCCCGCATCGGGCTCCCTGCTCGGCGGGAAGCCTGCTTCTCCCTCTCCCACTCCCCCTGCTTGTGTTCCCTCTCTGGCTGTCTTTCTCTCTGTCAAATAAATAAAAAACCTTTAAAAAATAAAAAATAAAAGTAGTATCTATCTGTTTATGCCTACAATGATTCTGTACTTTTTAAAAGTGTTTTAAATACTTGAAAATTTAGAAAAAAAATTATTTTAAAAGCACTGAAATAGAAAGTTGCTTTGATTGGAGCAGATTGGCAAATCAGCTTCCTGCTGCTACAGTTCTCTGACAAAGACACAGGGAGGGTGGCATCTGCATGAGAAAAATCAGAGTAGGTGGCAACTTTTCCCAGGGGGGACACAGCCGGAACCTCAAAGTCTGAGAATCAAATTTGCTCTTGAGCAATCGGGCCCCTGCAGTGACTCCCGGGGGGCCCCAAGGATGCCCCCGTAGCATGCTATTTCTCACCAGCTCCCCCAGCAGGCCCCTCTGGCTTCTGAGGACAACACATACAAAAGAGCAAGTCTCATATTTGTTCAACCTACTATAAAGAATAAACTTGAACATAAAAATCATATTTTAATTAAAAGTTTTTGAAATCTTTCTGCATAATAACCTTGTAAGTAAAGTGTATCCCCACCAGGTTCTTCCATCATAGGTCCTTCCATTTAAACTATAATAAAAAAGGTTACCTGTAAAGAATGTTCTGCGAGGTGAATCCCACGGATGAGATTCAGAGCAGCACACATGATGTTGAGAATAAGCGAGAGGACCCCCAGGGCTGTCACTGGTTCCATTCGGAAATTAGGAGCTTCACAATTAAAAAAAATAAGTGTCTAGTGAAAATAATTTCTATATGAAAGAAAAATAAACAAAGACATTAACTAGACCTCCACTAATGATAGGCTCAGTATGTTAAACACAGAATTACAAACGTATTAATTAAAAGCAGCTGCTGTTAGAGAGCATAAAAGGCGAGAAATGAAGGACAGAATGGAACTGGGAATCCGAAGTGAGTTCTTCCAGAAAGAGGTCCTTCTCTGAGTAAGCACAGGTTTTTCAAGGCCTGATTTTCTTTCTGTCTAAAGCAGTGGTTCTCAGCCAGCGGCGATTAGCCCCTCAGTGGACATCTGGCAACGCCTGGAGACATTTTGGGCTGTCAACACCGTGGACAGGGTGTTACCAGCATCTAGTGGGTATAGGCCATGAAGGCTTCTCAGCATCCTACAATGCACAAGACAGCCCCTCACAACGAGGGATTATCCAGTACAAAATGTCAATACGGCTTAGATTGAGAAATCCTGATTTAAAGCAATTTATGGCTTTACTTGTAAATGGGTTGTCAAATTCTGACAGCATTTCTATCATATACTTCAACTCTCAACTTCTAAACAAGGACAGTATTCAATGTCTCCTGTGCTTCTAAAGCAATCTGCAGCACATGCAGTTTCTTACATTCTAAAATAATTGGGAAGAGGAGGGAAACATTGATTATTTGAGCTATAAGCTGTTTCTGGAACTCTAGAACAAATGATCATTCTCTCTTCAAAGATACCTGCTAAGACTGATTCCAGGTCACACAATTAAATGGTGACTCCCCCCCACCCCCATTCTCTTACTGTGATCTTTTAAAACCATCCTTTCTTGTCCCACATTTCCCACATACACACACACACACACACACACACGCACACACATACAAATATCTAGCCACAACCCAACTGATGCCTATTGTTAGTGTGTTAGAGTTTCCATTGAGCTATCAAAGTTCCTGTTAGAACAGAACATGCTACCTGTAAAGATTCTAGCCTCGGGACAATAGGGTGAGTCAAACCACAGTAAAATGTCCTAGAAAGATAAGCAAGTTGACATTTTCTGGATTTTGCTTCTCTTGTCTAAGTGGTTAAAAAACAAAACACATATTACAAAGTTACCCCATCTTTACATAAGTCAAAAGAAGAAGTTTGGGGCTCAAATACCCAGTCTTCCTTCTACAAAAGTTAAGTCCATTCCCAATATAAATGACAACTTACTGATTGGCATAAGAGCCAATCCAGTAATGTATTGGTTGAAACAGATTAAATCAAAACACAGAGGTAAGCCAAAAATGTGAACATTTTTAATATACCACTTTTAAAGTTCAAGCAATGAGTTTAGTATAAAAACTGTTAAAATAGACTGTTATAGTGTAGACAACTCTATCTCTCAAAGAAGGATTCAGTTCTTACACCATTACAGAATACTTAGAATGTAAATATCCACTTTAATTAAAAATTGGTTTAATTGTGTGTAATTGTAACAGGGAATGCAAAAAAAAAAAAAAAAAAATCATGCTTTGTTACGTGCTAGGTATTGAGTGGCTAATGGTGTTAATGCCAGACTGCGTCACGGGATGCCAAGGCACTCAGCTTGGAAATCCACAGGGACAGAGGGATATCCCCAGGGCTCATGGGGAAGCAGACAGTGAGAGCACTAGAAGCCACAGCTCTGGTCCTGCCTACTCACATCCCCGCAGCCCTTCCCTCCCTCCGTCAAGGGGGACAGGGGTGTCTCAGTGGAGATTTGCAATGTTGCACTAGGTGATAAGATAAGGATTCACTGTCAAAGGGAAAAATAGAGAGAGAGGAGAGAGAGAGAGAGAGCATGTACAAATCTAAGGAAGTCACATCCTTTATGTTTAAACTTGTAAACTTCATCCTGGTTAAGAAAACAATCTGCCTAGTCACTCTTCTGAATGTCATCATGAGTTGCCCCTTCCCCCAGTCAACTCACTATCATAACAGTCAAGTGTTTTGTAACAGTCACCTGGAAACAGGATCAGTCCATATATTTCCCCACATATTTTATATACCCACCCCCAAAAAACACCTCCCTGATTGGGAAAAAAAAAGTCACTGTCCATTTGAAATACCTAACGTCACCTCATCTTCATCAACACCAGAGCACAGCAAACCACTTACCAGGCTCCAAGTGTATCTGTGTGTGACCGTTCATTAGCCCATTTGCCACATCCGTGTCCTCCAGAGTGAGAACCACTGGAGGCTGGAACTCCAGCTCCTCCTGAATTTTTTCCAAGCTGCTCTCCATCTGAATGGAACTTACATGGTTAAAATGCCACTTCACGTTCTGAATGATACTGTCTGCAGAAAAGAGAGCAACCCAAGTAAAGCAGCTGCAACAAAATGGGTATCATAGAACAGTATGTGCAAAATGAAGTTTACATTTCTAAGCAAGCTAGTAGGTCAGCCAGAGTATCGAGATATACCTAAAGGTCAAATGATTACTACGTGTCATCACTGGTCTCATCGATTTCTTCAGTGCATAATACTTAAAACATGAGTGTCCATGGAGAAGGCAACAACGCTTTCCAGAACCTCAGTGATGAGGGAGTCAAGGGATAGGGGCTTGAGTCCGAGCTCAACCACTGCCGGTGGTACAACCCAGGGCGATCCACCGACTGTTTGAAAGCTTAAAAAGGGAGAGAGTTATTCTTGAGCTAACTGTCCTAAAAAAAGGCATGTGAGAAAAAAATTACAAATAAATGTGGATATACTGTGTAAACTAAGATTGTATATTTTAAAGTATTAATCCATTAAGTTTTAACAAGTATTCGAAGTAGAGTTTCACACATATTGGCAAAGCAAAATGATGCATAATGCATACCTAGAATCACTACTATTATATTCTCCTCTCACTCAGTAGGGAGCACGCATGACGCTGGGGCAGGGTCTGCTGTCAGATCAAGCACAGCACTTTAGAAGGAAGGCACATGTAGAGCCGAGGGGGGAGAAGAACAGTCCACGGCTGCTAATGGACTGACAACCAAGGGACGCCACAGCTGTGGTCTGTCCGGGGCCAGAGTGCCCTCTTTGCAGGAAGAAGTGGGGCTGAGAGCACCAGTGAACCAGGCCTCACAGGGAGACTTGGGGAGAACCTTCTGCCTGTGTCACAGGTCTACCAGGCAGAGGCCTGCGTGCCAGGGACTTCGCCAGCACCTCTTGGGTGACAAAGAAATGCACCAGCCGGTGGGCCCCATGAGGGAGTCTGAGGGCTCTGGCAGGAGCTCCAGAAAGCACACGTGGCAACACTTCTCTGCACCCACCAACTGCAGCCAGCCCCTCGTTCGAGAGCATCACAGAGATGGCAGCTGCCTACATAGAGGCCACAGAAGGCCCCCCAACTCCCACCTCAACTCCTGTTCTCCCAAGAGCTCAGGATGACTTGACTCACCTGAGAAAAACAGAGCGTACACTGTAATTATCAAGCCTCTACGAGGTCTCTCTGGCAACGCCTAGGAAAAAACTATCCTCTTCCAGAGCAGTATCGCTCAGACCTCTGAGCGAAGGGCCAGTTTTTCTTATTTCCAAATGGTTGCAGACTGATACTTTGATAAAATGCAATAAAAAGACTGCAGGTGGGGCGCCTGGGTGGCTCAGATGGTTGGATGTCTGCCTTCGGCTCAGGTCATGGTCCCAGGGTCCTGGGATCGAGCCCCACATCGGGCTCCCGGCTCAGCGGGGACCCTGCTTCTCCCTCTCCCTCTGCCTCTCCCCCTACTCATGCTCTCTCTCTATCTCTGTGTCTCAAATGAATAAATAAAATCTTTAAAAAAAAAAAAAGACTGCAGGAATGTCAAATTACTGTATGAATTTCTAAACACTTCTTATTCTCACTTTCGGTACCTACCTCACGATGGAGGAACGAGCTCACCCACCACCCGCTGAGCAGCACGTCTCTAGAGCAGGGTGGCAAACCCTCTTAAAGGGCCACGTCGTCAATATTTTCGGCTTCTAGACCCCGTACAGTCTCTGTCACAACTACTCAACTCTGCCGGTGAGGGGCAAAGCCGCCACAGGTGACCCGTAAGAGAATGAGCGTAGCTGCCTTCCACTTCATTTACAAAAATAGGCAGCTGGCCCTCGGACCACCGTTTGCTGACCCCTGCTTCAGGGGATTATGGTGGATAACCGAGACGGGTTCCACCATTCCCCAGCCCTGCCTCAGGCCCCAAGGAGATGGGAAGCCGGTGCTAAAGCTTGAAGCTTCCGGGCCACTTCAATCACTGTGAAATCTCAGGGTACCAGGCGGATCTCTAGTGACATGTCATAGCACCGCCAGGGGTTTTCCTTGATGGTCAAAGCCAAATCTAAACTATCAGTTCGACCCATACAATGCCGTAAGAGAGCAATATAGAAGACAGAAGGTTACAAACCAAACTCGAGAAAGGCGTACGGCCTGGAGGCTAGGCCAATACAGGTGGTGTCGTAGGAAGCTGTGAATTCCCACCACACGGTCTCCAGGAAGCTGAAGGCCATGGCCACTGGACACTGGCGGGAGCAGATAGCCATGCAAGCCACATCCCGCAAAGAAGAAAAACTGCAACAAAAGGGCAACATCTGCATTAGCAGGGAGCAGACCCCTGTATTCCCGCCCCATACTCAGACACAATCAGGTCTGCGCCCTGCACTTGCCTGGCCTTGAACAGCCCTGTAGCTGTTTGCTGCGTGTATATTGTCTCTTCAGCTGGGGCTACCTGGCACTGCGCCTTTCTGGTCCTTCCTCTAAACTAGAGAGCAGTAATTTGCCACTGACAGTGTGTGATCACTCTTCTCGATTCCTGCACGAGGGACGCATGTTCCACTAGGGAGAGGTAGCCTCAGACCTCTCTGCATCTACAGAGCACACTGTTTTTCTTCTTCAATCGACATCAGTAGCTTTCTAATGTTCAATCATCCCGGCATCCTGAAATAAAGTCTTCTTGGCGGAGGGGTTGGGGGGATAGTTTGTACATATTCACATACACACAACTGCTAGATTTAGTTTGCTAATGTTTCATTTAGGACTTTTGTGTCTATGCAAAGTAAGACTGGCTTATAATTTTCCTTTCTTGCACTGTCTCCATCTGGTTGTGGTACTGGGTTATTCTGGGCTCCTAAAACTGATGCAGGGTTTTCTCCTTCTACTACTTTTCAGACTGTCGTGCTATCATTTCAGGTTCTGGGGACCCGAGTTCTCTCTGTGGTGTCTACTGACTCCCACTCATTGTAGGAGAGCTCCTTTGGTGTTCTGTAATTTTTGGTGAGGGGGCGCCGCTGTGGAGCTTCTTTTTTTCTCTGTAAGAATCTCTCAAGGACTGAGTTGTGGCACTCCTTCCTTCCAGAGTGGTTTTCCATTTGCTTTGGCCAGCTACTCCAGGAGTGTCATCAGTCTGGAACCAATACTGATCATTGAACCTTGGCTTAGGAATTCCTAGACCGTGGGGAGTATAAACTTAAACTCCAATCCTACATGAGCCACAGAAGCAGGGTTTCAATGTCTTAGATGAGACTTTGTTTTTCCTTTCCATTCAAAGCCAAGTAAAGATGAGCAACTTCTTACTGGTGGGCAGCTATTTCTCACCTATCACCGTGCCACCAGGGCTGTCGCCTGACAAGAATGCCTTCTTCAAGCGTGGCTCTTGTTCCAACACCTCGCCCGACATAAGGCAAAGGCCTCTCCCTTCCTGCGTCCTGAAACTCAAGTCCTAAGTTTATGACTGGTTACCCAGGAGCCTCAGTGTCAGCTCACACACTCAGCACCCTGATATTCGGTTCCCCTTCATTTCTGGCACCTTGGGAATTCTTTCTTTCAAGCTCAGCTACACATTTAAAACAATTTTTCATAGACATTTACCCACATGTCAGGATGTTTCTGGCAACGAGTTTTTAGGTTGTATTGTTCTATCATCTTTTTATAACTGGAAGTCTCTATATAAAAATTTTGTCAATTAAAAAAAAAAAAAGAATAACCTCCTCCTTATATGAGGAACTTTCCAGAAGGGGTTAAGTCTCTCTAGGATGGGTATTTCTATTGGAAAGAGGACCCCTATTTGTGGGCTGACTTGTATCTCCTAAAAAGATATGTTGAAGTCCTAACTCGCAGTGCCTGTGACTATGACCTTATTTGGAAATAAGTCTTTGCAGATACAATCAAGATAAAATAAGGTTATAATGGATTAGAGTAGCTCCATCCAATGACCGGTGTGAAATTCCATTAGAGACAGGGAAGAAGGCCACGTAATCAAGAAGGCAGAGACTGGAGTAACTCTTTTACAGGACACGGAAGGACTGCCAGCAACCACTAGAAGGTAGTAGAGAGGCACAGGAAGGGTCTTCCTTAGAGCCTCCAAGACAGCATGGCCCTGCCGCCACCTTGATTTCAGACTTCTAGCCTCCAGAACTGTGAGAGAATAAATTCCTGTTGTTGTAATTTGTTAATGTAACTGTGGGAAAATATTTCAACTCCTTAACTATAAAATAAGCTATAGTACTGCTTACCTGTATGGGGAAAAAAAAAAATCCTGTTTCATCTGTGAAAAATAATGGTGAATATTTAATCCAAAATATGAACGAACAGAACATTTTACGTTCCAGTTTTCAAAAAACTACTGAAGCACCCAGAATGTCATTTGAAGTCACAGACCTCTTTTTTTTTTCTTATGAGAGAAAATTTTTCGTATTTGCAGTTCAGCACCAAGCCCCATAGGATGTTAGATAATCCGAGTGTAATGAGGAAGGGACACGGAGGAAGGTGGTTTCAGGCACCCAGAGAGACAGGAGCCACAAATGCAGGCAGATGCAGCTCGGTTTTCGCTCCTGAGCACCCAGAGCCCACGCCACAGGGTGATAGCTGCACGTGCTCGTCTCCTGCCACCCCCTTCTGTCTGGTCCCTCCTCGCCTGACCGCACCACCAGGCCTGGAGTGAAGCCTGGACTTTTCCTTTGGTTTTCTGATTCTGAGGCTGAAATCCCGTAAAAGGACCCCACCTCATCAGGTCAGCTAAAAATGTACTGTTCAAGGGGAACAGGGGGGACTTGGTAAGTGAGGGCCTAAATAGTGGAAAACAAAGATGTAAAAAGCTAGGACAAGCCATTTTGAGATTTCCAACCCTGCCTAGCCCCTGCTCTCCCCTGCAGAAAGGCTTCTGGCAAAGAGTTTTTAGGTTTTATTGTTCTATCATCTTTTTATAATTGGAAATCTCTACATAAAAATTTATGACTGGTTACCCAGGAGCCTCAGTGTCCGCTCACACACTCAGCACCCTGATATTCGGTTCCCCTTCATTTCTGGCACCTTGGGAATTCTTTCTTTCAAGCTCAGCTACACATTTAAAACAATTTTTCCTAGAATAAGAATAAGTCCTAGCATAAGAAACGATAGAACACATAAGAAGCAGCCCTTGGGGCCCAGCTGCCTGCATTCAGATCCTGGCCCTACCGTGTACTAACAGGACAACCTCAGCTAAGTCCCTTAACCTCACTTTCCTCCTCTGTAAAACAGGTAGGGTACTATTACCTACCTCACAAGCCAATAAAGAGCTTAGGGTAGTGCCTGCCATATAGAAAACACTCAATAACACTAGGCATTATTACTAGGATTACTGGAACCACTTGATTCCTACTTCTGCTGGAGCATTTTCTCCACTGTATTACATTCAGTTAGATTATCGCTCTTGTTCCCTCATGAGACTTTGCAAAGGAACCTGCTTGTGCTCATTATTCACTCCCCTGCTCCTGTTACATAATGAGAAAAGTTTTAAATTTTTTTTAAAAAGGTGAAAAATTTAAAAAGCAAAAACTGAAGGCAAGAACCATAAGTCTTTTATTTTCCTGGCTTTCCCACTCTCATCCTTTTCCCTCCCTGATGTTATAATCTGGACTCTCTCCCTCTCCATCTAAGGCACAATAAACTACCAAACTAAAGGCATGAAAACTGATTGAACCCAGGTCTCCCGATGCTCCCAAGCACTCCACTAACAGAAGGGCAGGAGTTGGAGCGGCATGCTCCATGCAAGGGTGGGATAATCATGCTCCGTTGATTCTATGGCTGTAAATACACACCACCTCCAGACCACTGTCTGACAGCCGACCCACTCATAACACGCAATGTGATCAGCCTAACATTACCCCAATATATGGTTAAAAGTAAACCGAAGTTTGCAGATGTTCTGGAAAAGTGAACATGCTTGCTTACTGTATATTGAAGTCACGTCCTTCTGCAGAACCTCGACCTGGGTACTGGGCCAGTCGCAAGGCTAAAGTCTTGAGCCGTCTCCGGCATTCCAGAAAATCCTGGGTGTGGTAAAAGTCAGTGGAGGCCGAGAGGGGCAGTCCATCCCTCACCCTCACCACACAGGCAAAAAGGATCATAGACATGGTCTGCAGGGGAAGTCATGAGGACACCTGAGGAAAGCAAGGTCATCTTGTTACTGAGGGCAGATGATGGTGACAGAGACGTCCCTGTACCTGAAACGTCATTCTGATGGTTTCACCTTCACCCCCACTGGAACTGCAAATGTTGCATGTATTATAACTTTCCTGGCCTCTACTGCTATGTTGCTCCCTATCTTCCTCCTTTGTTTTCCTTCCTGTCTCTTCCTTACCTGTAATCCTCCTTTTCCTTCTCTCTAACGAATCTCTCCCCTTCCAGAACAAAACCAATCAGGATGAGGGAGAAAGGAATAGAGAAGCAAGGAAGCTGTGCCAGAAAGGCTCAGGAGCAACAGCAAAGACAAGGGGTCGCCAGGACACAGGTAGCAAGATGGCCCCAAAGGGACAGGAAGCACCTGACCCTGAAGCCAGGGGGTCGGCGGGGGGGTGGGGGGGTCCAGTGCCCTGTGCATTTCAGGTCACCTGGGAAGGCAGGTGTTGAGCAGTTTCGTTGTCTTATCCTCACCTGCGGTGGAGGGATTCTGAGCATCCAACCTGAGTTGGTGGCAGGGAGAACAGAAGGCAAAAATGTAACTGAGAGAGTAGAGTATGTCCTCCTGAATTTCTGCAAATGTTTGATACCATGCCAGTCTTCAAAATGATGACTGAGTCCCTACAGATGGCTAAAGGAAGTCATTTAGCAAATTATATGACAGTGAGATCCTAAATATTTGGCCATGATATGTGGGCACTAGTAAGAAACAAAAGGAAACAGATTCTGAGCCCTCATGGTGCCCTTGGCAAATCAGAACAAGGTGCTTCTCAGGGTGGAAACAGCCTGGACCAGTTCCGCTGGCAGAGCCTGGCTGGGTTTAGCCCCATCTATTAAGTCTGCAGGTGCGGGCCCAGGGCATAACCTACACATGTAGGCCGTGGTAGACCTGACACCACATGAGGTGGCCACTGCAGCTTTAATGGGTCTTTCCATGCACCCACACATCCTGTTTCACAGACTGGGTTTGTGAGGTCCTCTACTTGATAGGCTGTTAATAGGTACATACACTGGTGGACTTTTCTTTCAAAAGAATTCCAAAGATGTAACCTCATTTGACCTCTCATTTCCTATGAGCAGGAGGAAAGGGGAACCCCTATGATGTACACTTTTCTCTTCACCTCTGTGCCTTGATGCATTCTTTGGCCCATGTCTGCTACTCCTCTGGTCTCCCCATATCCAAATCCACATCAAGGACTGTCTCCCATCCACCCTTTCCGTGAAACCTTCCCAGACTTGTCCAGCCGGAAGTACTTCTACCTCCTCTAAATTCTCAGAGAGCCTATCTCTCTGTTCACTATTTTACTAATTTATCGTTTCTATTACCTAAGTGTAAGTTCTAAGAATAAAGACCATATCTAGAATGGATAAATGAATAATTATTCCCATTTTACCCATGAAGAGACTGCAGTGGTATAAGAACAAGAGAAGGCAAAAAGAAAACTTAGTCTGCTAGCCAACAGATCCTACAAAGTCCACTTGTCCCATCTCCCCACACTTTCCATCGAGGAGTAAAAATGTGAAAAGCCCCAGGAAAAATACCTCCACACACAAAATTGCTAAGTTCCCAGCACTGCTGGCGGGGCCTGGCCAACTGCCAGAAGGCCTTGTGGGCTGTACCCCAGCTGCTTGGCCCTTGCTGAGACCTCCAGCCCCCAAGAGGTGTATGGGTGTATGGAGGCTTAATCTTATTACCTTCTTACACTTTCGTGAATGTTTGAAATATTCAATTTAGAAATAATTTTTTAAAGATTTACGGGCACAAAGCCCTGATAAAGACAGGGGAAGACCACAAGATCAATGTGAGACTAGGGCTTAGGGGCGAAACAAGAACCACAACTTGCTTGCTATCTTGAGAACAGTGTTATTTAGGTGAATGCAAGGTATAGCCGTTCTGCAATGCTTGTAGAGAAGTGTTTAAGAATACCTGTAATGAAGATGTTTCTGAGAACACTACTTGCTAAGAAAGAACAACAACTTCAACAAGAATGCTAGGCCAAGATTTAGACACTGAGTACTGCCCCCCCGCACCCCCCCCAAAAAAAAGGAGAGAGAGAGAGAGAATGAATCAATGAGATACCAAGAGAGTCAGACAGGACAGAAACACCCCAAGGCAAAATAAGAAAGGTACTTTCTAGCGGGCTGAGTAAATTCTATGCTCTTCCAACTGTCAACTCCCAAATATCCTCTCTAGTGCTACTTTTATAGAACATCTACTACGTGTCAGGTATTGATTTAAACCAGTAAAAAGGAAAACAGTGACCTTTCCAAGTGATAGTAATCTAAGGACCAGTTCTACCACTCTCTAAAGGACCCAAACATCCCCTGCAGGCTCTTTACTTCACCCATTGATCCTTTTGGTGATAAAACCTGCTTCTCCTCAGACAACAGCATTCAAGTTAAATAAAAGCATTTGTCAGCTCTATCAAGTTCCTAGTATTGCAAACTAGTGAAACCCACATCCACTTAAGATACTTTAAAATTTGTATGATGCTGGGGCGCCTGGGTGGCTCAGTCGGTTAAGCGTCTGCCTTCGGCTCAGGTCATGATCCCGGGGTCCTGGGATCGAGCCCTGCATCGGGCTCCCTGCTCCGCGGGAAGCCTGCTTCTCCCTCTCCCACTCCCCCTGCTTGTGTTCCCTCTCTCGCTGTGTCTCTCTCTTTCAAATAAATAAATAAAATCTTTTAAAAAATAAATAAATAAATAAAATAAAATTTGTATGATGCTTAAATGAAGGGGACACTGTGCTATTAAGTGTTACCTGTGTTTGTGTACATGTATGAGTGTGTGAGTATACAGGACGGCAGCTTCCTGAGGAGTGGAGGGACTTTACACACTGCTGTGGAAGTGTCTAAGAACAGAGGCAACAGCATTTTTTTCCTCTGTGAAATGTACTTTGTATTCCACAAGATGAAAAAATGTTAATACAAATAGGGAGAGTCTCATCTCTGTGTCTTCACAGGGCCTGGTAAGAGCTTTGCATACTGCAGGGATCTGGTGTTTGCAAACTCAGATTATAAATGAGATGGTCTATACTTGAATAAGAGATCTGACTACTGCTCGAAAAAGGATGAACTGGGGACTTCTGCTTCTGAAAAGGTGGAGCTTAAGTACTTTTTCCTATTCCCACTAATAGTACTAAAAACCATGGACATTATATATAAAAGAGACATAAATAAACATCTGAAAGGTGGAGAAAAAGGCAGACTGGCTAGGGACTTTGGGAACTGAGGAATGTCAGAGCTGTGAGCTTGCTCAGTTTTCTTTTTGCCTCATATATCCTGGTTTTGGTGCTAGAGAAGCTGGCAACCCAAAAATGCCAATGAATGTAGACAAAAAAAGAAGAAGAAAAAAAGCCCCAACAATGAAAAAAAGGCCTTCTTTCTCCAGCCAAAGAAGCAGGAACGGTGCGTGCAGCCTAGCAAAACAGAAAAGTTTTAGACAAAAGCATTCCACCCCAGTCAAATACCACAGGAAAACCTGTAACCATCATACACCCACAACAAAGGCTGAATTAAGAGCCCAGACTTCTACTCCTGCCTGGCAGTAATGAGGTGTCCCCCCCAACCCTCCATGCTGCTGGGGTGTCAGAGAAGACCAGGCAGGGAGCTACAGGCAGCAAAGAGCCAGGCTCTCCCACTGTATCATTAAGGAGACAGAATTCCTATCTCTGCCCAGGACTAATGAGCAGCCCCTTGCCCTCAAGGAGCCAAAAAGAGGCCCAGTGGGGACACCTGAACTTTTACTCGCACTTGGCAGTAATGAGATAGCACTCCCACCCCCCTGCTAACACAAAGACCAACTAAAACAGATCTAAATAAGATCCAGAGTCTCGTAACATAATGCCTAAAATGTCCAGGTTTCAATCAAAATTCACTGGCCATACTAAGAACCAGGAAAATCTCAGCTTGAATAAGAAGAGACCATCAACTGATGCTAAGACCAAGATGATAGACTTTAAAGTAACTATCATAAAAATGCTTCAATGAGCAATTATAAACACACCTGAAACAAATGAAAAATTAAAAGTCGCAGCAAAGAAATAGAAGATATAAAGAACCAAATGGAAATTTTAGAATTTAAAAAATACAATAACTGAAGTAAAAAATTCAATAGATGAGCTCAACAGCAAAATGGAGGGGACAGAAGAATGATTCAAATCAGTAAACATGAAGACAGAACATAAAAATTACTTAATTTGAACCATCTGAGAGAAATTAGATTGAAAATATACAGAGCCTCAGGGACTGTGGGACTATAACAAATTATCTAACACACATGTGCCTGGAGCAGAGGAGAAAGAGGGCAGGACTGAAAAAGTATTTGAAGAAATGTCTGCAAACTTCCCAAATTTGACAGAAGACATAAGCCAACAGATTCAAAAAGCAGGATAAACCCCAGAAAGGATAAACCCAAAGAAATCCATGCCAACAAATATAACACTCAAATTTAATAAAACTAAAGACAGAAAAAATCTTGAAAGCAGCAAGAAATAACACAGAGTGGGGAAAAGCAATTCAAATGACAGCAAATTTCTCATAGAAACCATGGAGGCCCAAAGAAAACATACTTCTCAAGTGCTAAAAGAACTGCCAAGGCAGAATTCTGTATTTTCAGCAAAAATATCCTTCAAGAATGAAAGGAAAATTAAAACATATTTAGATGAGGAACACTAAAAGAATTTGTTGCCAGCACACCTGCTCTAAGAAAATGGCTAAAGGAAGTTCTCCAAACAGAAAGGAAATAATAAAAGAAGGAATCTTGGGAAAAAAGAAAACACCACAGAAAGAATAAAAACATGGGAAAATACAAGAGACTATCCTCATAAGTTTTGTATATTATGTTTGATGACTGAAGCAATAACTATAACATTTCTGATGCTCTCAATGTATTTAGAGGAAATATTTAAGACAATTATAAATGGGGAGGGTACAGAGATACAAAGGGAGGTAAAGTTTCTATGCTTCATTTGAAATGGTAA